CTGGAATTTCTTGTTTCTAATATCGTTTTCCTTTACATTTTTTAAAGCTCTTGATGTGAAATCATCTCTAATAATGATGATCACTTAAAGAGATCTTGATTAGGATAACTAATTGAGCCAAAGAGAGATAGCTGGACATCATCACTTATAAAATTTGAATGTACTGCATTGTCCAACGGGGAAGGTGTCATTGCTTCTATACCCATCTCCTCTTTTATTTTCATAACACTAGTAATCCCGTGTGGTGAAATATACTTCTTCAACCAAGTGCAACCCAGCCTCCTCCGCTAACTTCTCTATCTCCCACATACTGAAAGGATGTGCTGGCTTGTGAGTCACGTGCATTCCTCAGGAATCCCCTCACCACGTCCTGGTGAAGTCTGAAAAAAACATAATAATAATTCACTTTTAACATTGTGTTGTGGAGCTTTTGAACCATCCCATGGGGTTTTAAAAAAAATATCTCAATTAAAGATTGGTTTGAAAATAATTCTCAAACTCAAGTACTTTTAAAAACGTCAATTGGTTTGACGTTTTTGGGCTTAAAGACGTCAATCGGTCTGACGTTTTTAGCCTAAAAATGTCAGTCCAAATGACGTCTTTAAGCTTAAACAGGCACATTTCAAGGACCTTAAAAATGTCAGTACAACTGACGTTTTTTCCCTCCCCTTCTTTTTTCCCTTATTTTCCCTTCTTCCCCCCTCCCCATCTGAGCCCTAACGTTTTCAGGCGAGAGAAATAGAAATCTCATCATCTACACCCCCTAGCCAACTGCTAGCACCGCCATCGCATCATCATCCACAACCACCAAGCACCACCCAACCATCGAAGCACCGCCACCTTCGAAGGCCGCCCCATCACCACCTAGCACTACTCGGTACCCGAGAACGCCTCTTCGTGACATCACCACTATTGTGCTGGTAAATGTTTTTCAACTTTTCTTGATCTCTTGAATGGTTGGTGCTTGATTTGGTTGTGCTTATATTGCTTGAACAATAGTTGGTTTTATTCAATTTGTGCGCACATTTTGTTGCATTGATCAATTAAAGTTGAATAGATCTTTTTTCTTCTATGGTTCCTTTAGGAACATTTCTCTGTAAATCTGGTAGTTTGGTTCTTCTTCATAGGAAGAGTGGTTAAATGGGTTTAGAATGATTGGTGAAGAAAAGGTTTTGAACCATCAGATTTAAGTGTAATTTTTCATAGGCTTGAACATATAGGAAAGGTAATTTGTTGGTCCACTGAAAATCTTGAGTATAAATAAAGATGGGTCTACTTCTAGATCCACCCAAGTATCTTTTGGATTGATAATAGTTTTATTTTGAATCCAGTTATAATATCAATATTGAATGTTTTTAACTTGGGTGCTGAACATCATTAGAGCAATGTCATTCCTGAACCGAAGGTGTTATGCCTTTTAATATTTCGAAAGAGTTCTCTTTTGCAATTTTTCATCTTTTGTATAGAGTGTAACTGATGTCACGAAGAGGTGTTCTGGTTATTGAGTATATTATTGATTATTGAGTTGTGTTGATTATTGATTGTGTTATTGAGTTAAGTTGATTATTGATTGTGTTATTGAGTTGGGTATTGAGTAATTGGATTAGAGTAATTGGTCCATTCCCTGAAGTGTATATATGTATGTTCTAAATTGCCAATGTGATCTTTCTTGGAAATGGTTATTGCCAATGCTGCCTTACAAGCTCTTTGTGCCTGATTCAAGTGCTAGAGAACCCAAGTCAAATTAATCTTCCAGTCAAAGGCAGAATGCCACTAACTGAAAAATCAGTGAATGGAGCCAAAAAATCAGCAACTATGTATAGCAGACTGATCTTTGATTTTTCAGTTAGTGGCATTCTACCTGACTGGAAGATTATTTTTATTCCAGGAATCCTGTATGCTTTCTGCAAGGCTGAAAAGGATGGGGTTCTAAGAGCCAGAAGTTGAGGTGAGGATGCTGCAGGCTGTACAGAAGAAAATACTACAGTTTTATAGCAGCTTTTTCTGGTTTTTTTTAATCAGTTTATTGTTTTCTATTTTCTTGTTGAAACAGTTTCTGTTCTTGATTCTTGTAATTTTTGACATTCAATCAAATAAGATTTCCCTTTCTTAAAAAAAAAAGATGGAAGAAGAGAAACGAGTGAATCCAGTTTAGAAATATAGCATCTAATCGTGGATCTATTTAATTTAAATCGTTTCAAAAATAAAAGCAGTGTTACAAAAGTGGTCATTCTTTAAGCTCCTCATTTAATGTATAGTGGTTTGCACCATCCTTATACTGCATTAGAAAGAGAAGGCATCAACATGGGAGGAATCTTTCATGTAGATTTCAATATTTTTCATCCAAAGATAAGTGGCAGATTAAATATTTCTGGTGGTGGCACTTGCCCTTGTAGCCCTTCTTCACCATACTGATCATAGATTGCTCTCTTTTGTGGATCATTTAGAACCCTAATAAATCAAATTTTTTTAAAAAAAAATGAACATCGGCTACCATTACACACTAATTACTCGGTGGTAAGTTGGTGGATCATGTCCCCTTTTTTTCCTTCTAAAAAGAGTGAAGCTAGAGGGGTGCCTGGCTGTTGAAAATTGCTCCCTTTCTTGAGAAAAAATTCAGTACTTTTAATGTACCATTAGGCGCCAGTGGTGTAAAAATGTTATACATTCACATACCATGAATCTCCATCTTTTTTATATCGCTCAAGATGGTGACGACGAGCAAGGTGCTCCTGTGCAATAGAAGTTACTATTTTGACTCCACCAAAACCCATAACCATTAAAGTTCAAAAAAAAAAAAAACATCATCATCAGAAAATGCCACAAGTGAAATCAAAGCCAAGCTTCATCTAATGTCGGCAGAACCAAAAGAAATTCTATTCCATTCACATGTTTCAATTTAATCTATATTAACATTTTCAGTCTTCCGAAATTCTGATTTCATTCTCATTCGATAATGAAACAGAAGAAAATGACAACACAAAAAAAAAAAAAAAAAAAACAATACAAAGCAACATAAATCTGAGTCATTATATGCGATTATCCACTCAACAGGACTTCAATAAACCAAGCACAACAAAAAAAGAGAAGCCAAAAACTCGTGACTTAAGAGAGCAACACAAACCCAAGAAAAGAGTGTCTTGACTATTTTGAAAGCTTGAAGTATAAAATTAAGATGATAGCAACAAGAAGGACCACAATCACAGCTCCGATAATCCACTTGTTCCTGCTCATCCTTCTTGACATGGCAGTCAAAAAAATTTACTCCTGCTCATGTTGTCATCCTCTCCATGAAGCTGAAACAGAAAAGAGGAAGTGAAACACCAAGGTCCTCTGTCTGGTTTAAGACAGCATCACTGCAAGGAATATCAAATCAAATATACCTGTGTTATGGGCATGTAACAGAGATTGTCGCTATTGGTGCAGATCTTGAAGAAGTGAAACACCAAGGTCCTCTGTCTCCAGCATGGTCCTCCTACTTTCCCTTATTCTATCATTGGACTTGTTTAATCTTTCGGTCGACATTAATAATCTTTCTCTTTGATTGGTCGATACCTATTGCAGTTATTGGAGAATTTAGAATACATAATGATGGGAGATTCAAAATGATTAATTGACTTGGGTTCTCTAGCACTTAAATCAGGCACAAAGAGCTTGTAAGGCAGCATTGGCAATAACCATTTCCAACAAAGATCACATTGGCAATTTAGAACATACATATATACACTTCAGGGAATGGACCAATTATTCTAATCCAATTACTCAATACCCAACTCAATAACACAATCAATAATCAACTCAGCTCAATAATCTACTCAATAACAAGATCTTTTACCTCCCTACCAAACCAAACCACTCCGAGAGTTTTGGCTAGAGCAATCAACTAAGGAATTAATCCAGGATCCTACATAACTGTAGAGTTTCACTGCACGTGGGTGCACATTAGATTAAGGGCATGATCTTCCAAAACAAGAGACTATTTTGTGTCTTCTCTATTTATCTGGCATATGGGTATGTTTTCTTTTTTCAGAAACCATGACAAGAGCCATGTACATGTGCATTCAAAAATCAACAATACCTAGAGAATACCTTCACTACATGACAAGAGATTACCACTTTGTTTAGTTGCATGAAAATGAAAGCAACACAGAATACCACTGGTAAAAGCAGCCCACCTTATTCTCTAGACAGGTCCATTCAGACATATTACATCATCCACAATCCCATACATACTGGTGATTTTTTCTTACCCTTGTGATTTTTGTATATGATTTGCTATATATTGTACATCATAGTTTTGGAGGTTTCAAACTAATATAATAGTTAAACTAGAACATAACATAGGACTTCGACTAGGCAATTGCATTGTTTAACTTTTTTCCTTTGCCAATCTAAATATCATCCTCGTTGTTAGAGTGAGAAAAAGTGAAAAAAATTAAATATGTACCTCATAAATTAAATGAAATAAATAAAATAAAGATGTACTAAGGCCTTAATCGACAATTTTATACAATTGTAGAATTTCAACTACCAATCTTAAGCTACTGACAAATTTCAAATCAAAACCAGCACACTTACCTCTGCTGGACGAGCAGCAGGTGGTGGTCCTCGCTGGTGGTCACTGGGTTGCAACGTGTAATGAGTGGTGGTGGTCCTCGATGGTAGTGCTTGGATTTAGGGCTTCGATCGTTGGGTGGTGCTGGGTGGGCGTGGGTGGTCAGTCGATGGTGGTGGTTCTTCGAGGGGGGCTCAAATGACTGGTTTTGGGGGAAGAAGGCAATTTAGTGTGGGTTAAGGCTCAGCTCAGACCAGATAATTCGGGGGAAATAAGGGAGGAGGAGGAAAGAAGAGGAAAAAATAGAGTCAGGGTATTCCACTTAAAAACGTCAAATAGACTGACGTGTTTAAATAAAAACAACCCTTTCAAAAATGCTCATTCTATTGCAAAGAACATATATACACCATTACTGAAAACCAAGTCCCACTACTTGCAGCGATGATCCTTACAGGCCCTATCAATAAGATTGCAGAAAATAGGTCTAATGTACCGGACCTAAATAATGCAAAACCCCAATCTTCTAATCTAGAGCACTTTCCGCCGAGCTTCACTTGCTGCCATGTCATCTTGCTTCAAGAAAACAGCCAGCTCATCATCTTCTGCAGCCTCTGCTGCAGCCACAACAACAATTTTCGTACTGTGTAAGTATTCTGCTCTTGAATATTTCGTCCAGAACTCTTTTTCTGTCATCTGGAATCCAGAAAATGTATACATTAACCCCAATGTAGAAGTTAGCTTAAAGTTAATGAGAAAAATACAAAAGGAGGTGATCTTTGAGGAAAAAAAATATTGCCACAAAAAAGAGAAAAAAGTTGCACATTCTAACATTGCTTGGAACAAAATTTAGAAATGTCTGGCGTACAGCCGGTTTCTCAGCAAAAATCTGAAAGTCAATCCAACAATAAATAAGAGAGAGAAGAAGTAGATGGCTACTGAGTCACAATGATATTATCAACAATCCTAACCAATAACTAACCATGCAGAGACAGAAATGCATCAAAGGACAAAATTTTCTATCGTATCAAGCCGAGCACACTTAAGTCACCGGTTTATATACTACTCAAAATGCATGACTGATCCATGTCACCAATAGTATCACCACATTATAATGCATCCAATTAATTGACAAATACATGCACATTCCAGAATAGACTTTCATCAACGGTACTAATGTTGACCAAAAGAAAACGTGGCTATGCACCATTATTGATTAAGAATTGCAATGTCAAACAATATAACAGGTAAAATTCTGGATGAATCAAAAGAAAGAACAAGCCATACCTGGTGAATAATCTCGGGTGTCAAATTAAAAGTAACTTTGTTAGACTGAAAAAATAACATTCAAAGAAAATAAGCATTATAGAAATTGCCAGAAGTTACAAAAACTAGAAATGAGTCTACTTAGTAAACAATGCACCTCAAGTAATCTTGCAAGTAAAAAACAGAACTTAGAATTCATAACATACGTTTCAAACTTCACGAGAGAGAGAGAGAGAGAGATCTATGTTATACCGGACCATCAGAAGATGGTTTGACATGGAACATGTCATTTCTCAACCCCACCTGTTGTTTTGATTTTCTGCTGGCATTCTCATCCAGCAACTTCTGCACTTTATCGTAAAATAAACTTTTCTGTTACAGCTTTCCCAAGAGTATATCTAACTAATAAAAAGAGCACATCTCTCCAGGTAGACACACATAGGCTCACAGTTCAATTCGCTTATCCTAAAATCCATGTTCGTAGAAGCTGACATATTGGAAAAAAAATAACCAATAGCTAACCTTTCTTGTTGCCCAAAATTCAGCCTCTGATAGGACACCTCCAATCACTAACTGCTTATGAAGTTTCTGCAACTCACTGCAAATGATACCTTATCAACTAAAAGAGAAACTTACATGTGAAGAGACGAAATACTAAATTCAGCAGCCAATGATACAATGAAACTGGACATTTTATCAAAAGTTCTGTTCATATTTCACAAGAGTATGCCAACAGTTCCATAGGAATTCAGACATTACATAATTTGTAGTAACTTGCACAATGATACTACCTTGAAATCCACCTGGCATATAGTTTCAGAATAATATGTTTATGCAAACGTAAGTAACTGATAAAAACGAACAACAAGATTCTTGTAGTCACAAAGTGCATAAGTTGAACAATAATTTGCCGTGGAACAAACAATTTTTGTCAGGATAACCGGAAGTGAGTTTACCTATCCTCCTGCAGTAGTCTAATCCGACGCTCCATCTCTGCATGGCTAAGTTGTTCATCTTGAAGTGGAGCAGCTGATCTCTCAGAACCAGCTCTTCCAGCTTCTCCGGATACTGCAATAGCTGTTGCTGTTTGCAAGTTAACAGATACAAAATCTTCATGTGAACAATTTCATCCAATATAAGCTACCCAATTCTATAAGAACTTTATCAAATCAAGACAGTATATTGAGGTTGATTATTCCAAACACTCTAGATGATGTCCAACTACGTACTTAATTATAGTTAATAAGAGAGACTTACCAACATATTCACAACAAGCATCACGATCAGAAAAAGTGTCAAATTCAAAAATGTAATTTCCTCCCTGGACACAAATAAGATTTGCAAGTTTAAGTCACTATAATTGAAGCAACAGTAAATATGCTTAGTTAGACACAAAAAAATATCAATATATCATGAAAAGTATTGTGCAATATCATATAACGAACACTCATAGATGGAGTTCAACCTAACTGCCATAAGATTCAGCAACTGAACAAATTTAAAGGATTCCTAAAAGAACTGTCTAGAAGGTAATATAGCAGAGGAGAAACCTGATCCACTGTGAGATTAAGCAGGGCCTGTTTGTTGGAACCCTCCTTGGTAAATTTGTGACCTGAAAACTCACAACAAAGACAGATAGAAACACATTAACAACTTTGTCACAAAATAATAAGATGTGTGCTAAACAAAATGGACAATAAGATGGATTAATTAAAGGAACACTCAGCTTCCTACATCCAAAGCAATCCTGACGAACAGTATGACAAGGCGCATAGGTATTTTCGCAACAATTTTCCCGTTTTCATTTATAAACCGCAAAATGGCAATCAAAGACAACTCTTTTGGCACTACTTACATCTCATCCTAACCATCCAGCACTTCCAGCAAAAACAAAACCAAAAAAAAAAAAAATCATTGACTGTAACATTGCACCATCTTGCAACTAACAATTGAAAACTCTCCTAAAGGATCAAGTGCATTAACAAACAAAGTACCTTTAACCAATCTAAACTCTACATTAAGCCTTGCAGATGATTTCGGATCATTTGGCATAAAAAAAAAACTCTCTCGAGTCTGCACGCAGTAACAACAATGAAGCATTTTCACATGTAGAAACTTTGCTCAATTATCAAAAAAAATTACCATTTTCAGAACACCAGGAACTCCAAAGTCCTTGACTGACGATTTATACCTTGCACACTTTATCACCTGCCCGTCAGTCATTTCCGGCGACTTCACACAAGTATATCAAAGCTTTGCTTTGTTTAGTATTGCCGGAGCATGTGGTCGGAGATCTAGTCTCTGTCCGCCGGGGGATGTGGTCTCTGTTGCCATGAATCTAGTCGCTGTTGCACGATGTGGTCTCTACACCGTTGATTTGGTCGCTCGTGAGAGAGAGAGAGAGAGGCCTCAAACGGTGGGTGTTAGTGTGGGGAAAGCAAAGAGAGACCTAACAGACAGTAGTGCGTTAGCAGCGGTGGGTTCGCCATCTCTGCTATTGGTAGTGGATCTGGTGCAGTTAGTCGATAACAGAAGAGAAGGAGAGAAAGCGCGAGAGAGGAAGTGAATAGGCGTGAATTATGGAGAGAGGGATTTGGGTGTCAATTTCGGGAGATAGGGGAGGAGAGATAAGAGAGTATAAAATGAAAAGCTTTTACTTAAAAACCAAAAAAAAAAAAAAATTCCTTACCCAACATAAAAAAAACATAGAAATTAGACCGGTCGTTTGGTAACGATTTTATTTTAGTATTTTTTTAAAAAAAAATAAAAATAAATTTTATTTATTTGATGATAAATAATAAAAATATGTTTGAAAGTTATTTATTTTTATCTTTTTACGAAAACAAAATAAAAAAACATATTTAATTAACCGGTCCAAGTTATACAAATACAAATCAATATTTATAATATCACGTACAATAAAATACAAATTAAATTTTATTATCTCAAAAGATTCATTAATTCATCAAATAACACAAAATAAAATAATTACATTAAATAAGTCATTAAACATATCACACATTCAACACACAGCACACGCTCAACAGATCAGCACACACAGACTCACACACACTGATACATAACACATAAAATGACACAGAATTGTTTAGGGAAAAAAGAAAAAAAAAAAAGAGATGGGGACCTATTCAATGCCTATATAAAACATATATATATACATAGATCTAAAAGTGTTTACCCTATTGTGCACAACGAGAGACAAAAAGATTGATGGATTTTCTGCATAGATGACTTCTTCGAGTTCTGGGTTCAAAGCATCGAGGAGCAAAGCTTCATTGCCTTCTTCGAGTGTGTTTGTTCTTCGACCTTCTTCATCGTCCAGAACATAGAGATGAGAGATGTGTGTGCGTGTGTGTGAGACCAGAGCGAGACAACAAAAACCCACAATTTATACCTACATAACAAATAGGGTTAATTTCAACTTACACCTTAAAAGATCATTCGAATTTTAATTTATACCCTCAAAGTTTAAAAATATTAATTTATACCCTAAAAGACATAAATTTGTGTTAATGTGCACCAGGGGTTAGCTACCATCCATTTTGCCGTTAAAAAAGTTTGGAATAATTACAAACTACACTTTTAAAGTTTAAATATTTCACATTTATGATTACAAAAGAATTTATCCATTAATACTTGTTAAATACCTCTCAATTGTGTCATATCATGTTATTTTGTATCATGTCATATCATTTTCGTATTGTGTTCAAGTCGATAAAAAAATATTTTTAACACAAAATATTTTCATATCGAGTCAATTGCATTATGTCGTATATTTCACATTTACGACAATTTATATAATACTATTTAATATTTTTTTAAAATTAAAAAAAATACTTATTTTTTTACCTACAATGCTCATTAAATAAATATTTTTTTTCTACACTTGTGTTATTCAAATCTAACTTTAATTTGATCGAACAGAAAATTTGTGTCTATTTGTAGACAAAAACTATTTAACAAGTATAATAAGCAAAAAATATGTATTTTATAATTATTAAAAAATTTTAAAATATTTTTTTATTGATTCGAACATGACACAAAAATGTTATGGTACGATACAATTGAGAGCTAATTAACGAGCATTAATGAAAGAAATACTATTTTTGGATCATAAATATGAAAATTTTGAGTTTTAAGGCTGCAATTTATAATTAATCCAAACTTTTTTAACGACAAAATGGATGACAGTTAAGCTGATATGCACATTGATACGAATTTATATCTTTAAGGTGTAAATTGATATTTTTAAATTTTGAGAGTACAAATTGAGATTCAAGTGATCTTTTAATATACAAGTTAAGATTAGCCATAAAAAAATAATCCAATGTTGTTGTTAACAAGGTTCAAGACCTCATTAAAAAATTGGGAGAATTATACTCAGACCTCTTGAAATTTGTCATTTAATCACTTAGATCCTCTGATATTTGAAATATTATACACAACCCTCTGAGATTTGTATGCGACTTACACTTAGACTCATATCGTCAACGTGTTAATAAATCCATTAAAAAATTACATCCATAACCCTTAAAGTTTATAGCGTGTAATACTTAAACCCCTCAAGTTTGAAATATTATACTTAGATCAAAAATATTTCAATTAAAAATAAAATATCAAATATTTTAAATTTTACAACCAAAATTCATATTCTATTATTAAATTTATTGAAATAAAATAAAAAATAAAAATCTATTTTTAAAAAAAAAATTATAATTAGTATATAATCATACTATCTATTAGAATTTAATTTAGTCATTTAAATGACCAAATTACTCCAATTAAAACTAAAATATATTATGTTCATTATAGTTTGGTAGCCTTATCTTACTCAATAGCTCGCGTTTGTTCAGTTGAATGAATGTGAACTAAAACCTCTCTGAATGCTCCATCCGTTGCATGTTGCCTTCTCCTCCAGGTTCCCGGTCTACGATTCTTGGGGCAA